AGGATCGATTTTCTCCTTTTGCCAAAAAAAAAAAAGCCGACTATTAGTATCTTGATAAGAATTGCAATACCTCCACAGGTCACCTTGGGGGAGTATCATTATCTTAATGATATTAACTGTTTAATCCAAGAATGTGGGGTGTGTTTCTGTTTATAGGTCTTCTCTAATTTCCTTCAAGTAATCTTTTATACTTTCAGTGTAAAGGACACCTATTGATGGGGAAACGGAGATGGAGATGGAAATGTTGGTTATTTTCTCTCTGAAGGTAAATGTAGGTTTGCCTGAAACTCTTTCCTTGGGAACAAACCTGGCTCTGACTTCACATTTTTCTTAGAAGAAAGAAAGGACCTTGGAGGCCCTGTTTTCCCTGCCCATGTCTTGGCTCCAGTCACTGAATATCGTCAAGATCTGCCAATATTCCCTTTCTTCACGTGTACAATTTCTTTCTGATCAGATTCCCAAATAATGTTACTATTCTATGTGTCCAAAATTCTTTAACTATCTCTGACATTTTATTTCAAGAATTGCATGTATTTCTGACCCCCAAATTGTATCTTCTATGATAAATTTGTGAAATAGCATGTACAAATTTGACTATATTCCATAGTCACTTCTAAATCTTGACAATGAGCAGGACATCATATGTTTTACTTAAAGTTATTTCTTTTCTTCCAACTGCAAAAATGTTGCTATTGTATTCAAACTTTCTTGAAGGCTTTTTCCTTCTTTATCATTAGTTCTTTTCCAAGCTGCTGCTTATTCTCCATGGAAATATGCTTTCCTCAGGCTCTCCCTTTAATTCTTCCAAACAACCTAGCTACAATGGAATTCAACTCTGATTTTGTCTTGAAAGGATTCACTTTGGAATATTTAGGCCCATTGCATGTGGGCTTCTGGCACCTTATACTCTTCTAAATTCTGACCGGTCCAGTTTGCTTACAGTCCTGCCCCATGTGTCTCACTGAAGTGGGTAAATGTTGTAAAAGCCTGGCCGTAGTGGCTTTGGTTTCTGACCCTAAAATGGTTATAAAATCTCACTTTAAATCCAAAGATAGTTTATTTTTTCCCTACATTGGCAGAATCGCTCATCAACTCTGAAATTTATTACAATCGAGTCTCAGTTTTCTAAGTTTGCAACAAAACACAGAAGAAGTTTTGGGAATTTTCATGTACCAACAACAACATATTTTATCTAAACATTACTCTGTGTAAAAATGAAATTTAAAATTGGTTTTAGGACATTATTATGCAAAAGTTAGAGTGAGACATAGGTGGTGATTTTCGTTACCTGTGTCAGTAAAATCATATTTACATATGGTACTAAAACTGTGGTATTAAAAAAAGTGATATTGTACTTCACCAAAATTAAAGCTTTGTCAAAGAACACGTTATACAACTAGAGATGAACTGAAGATTGGAGGATGCTAATTTCTAAGGAGTGTCCAGACTGTGTTTGTAGGTGTTGGAGATTGGAGACATGACCAGCTATCTCCTAACATGGGTTGAAACAGGGTAGCTTAATTAAATTTTGGTCCACATTGGACACAGTGTTAAGGTGGACAACTAGTAAAATACTGGGTTTTGTTACTCTTAATGCTGAAGTGCTAGATCCTTTATTTCCTCTATTACTAAACTGGAAGCAAGCGTTAAACTGAGAAATACACATTTTTTTGCCACTGGTGCTTGCTGGCTGTTTGAGTAGTAGTTTAATCAGCTAATAAATAATGGTGCTATAAACTTTGGGGTGCATGTATTATTCCAAATTAGTTTTCTTTTTTTTTTTTGCTCTCTCTGGATATATATATCAGCAATAGAATTTCTGAATTATGTATTAGATATACAGATGGCCAAGAGGCACATGTGAAGATGCTCAACATTGTTAATATCAGATAAATGGAAATTAGATTCTCTTCATTTAAAAAAGACACTTTTTTCCTGTGTGTATTAGGTTTTTGCTTGACATATTTTTCATTCAAAACTCTGGGTGTATTATACCACTTTTCTGTTCTGCTATGTTTCTACTGAGGAACACAGGAAGGGGTAATCTAGGGTTGAGAGTGGAGTTGTTTCTGGGTGACCCACTTCCTCTTTTATGAATGATGATGTTTTTATTACTTCTGTTCTTTACCCCCTCTTTCTACCATTCATTTGTTTTATTCCTTTTTCCCTGGTACTGTTGGTCAGTGTGAAGCACCTAATAACTCCAGATCTTTGTATGTGGTTAATGAGCTTGAGGAAAATTAACCTGCTATTCCTGTACACTAATTAGACAAACTGATGTTAAGTTTATTACGTATGAGGTGTTTTTGACTAGCACAGTAAGGGAAACTATAGGGAATAATTCTCTCTTTGATGCTAATGACTTACATCATTATTTATTAAAATATTCCCCCTGGAATACAAAGAACGTTTCTTTCAGTGTTCTGTCAGGAGGTTGCTATCAAAAAGGATGGTCAGAACTGGCACTGTTTCAGAGCATCTTCTAACAGGTACGTGACAGCGAATCTCCGTCTTTCACTCAGAGAGGCATCATTACAAAATAACCCAACATAATTTTCTAGTCTTTTCATATCTTTGAATGCACTGTTTCCATATAGCTCTGAGAAATAAATAGAAAAGAATAAGTTTATTATTTGAAATTTACTGTTAATATTGGAAATAAATAGAAAGAACACAAATATTGAGAAAAATGAGCTTTTGAACTCATTGAATCTTTTTATGAGCACCAGATATGTTAAAAGCCATCACTGCTGTGGAGAAATAGAGCAATATATTTCACATATTATGGTTTATTTCAAATTCTAGAGATGGCCGAGTGTAGGAAAGTTTACAAATAATTTTGATGTGAGGTAATGTGGCAAGATATGTCCTCACTTGAGTTCTGGATACTAGGAAGTTACAAGAGATTGTATGTGGTTAGAAAGCCAACAAAAGGTTAATGAAGGTAATAACCCTCACACAGCTTTTGGCGAATGGCAAATTTTCCATCTTCATGTGTTCACTTTGGGAAGAATACCGTATATTCTGCTCAAAGTGTAGAATTATTACATCCTGTATTCCTCCACAATAATATCACAGGTTTATTTATAATTTTTACTTGGCACACTTCAGAGGTTTAATCTGAAAATGTTAATATCTACTTCTCAGAGTATGTTCAGAGGAAACATGGTAATGAGGAGGCTAAAAACTGCAATTAAGGTGAAAGATAATATGTGATATATGTGGGAGAAAAGTTTCCAAAAACATTAGATTGAAATCTTTTCTCTTCATCAGTATTTGTCCCTGAAAAGTTTCTTCTGTGTTTGATCTTATTTATCCTTGTTCCTCCACCAGGTGTCTGTGCTGTATCTAATAAGATTTGGAAGGAAAAACAATAAATATTAATTGTCAATATAGATCAGCAACGAGGTTTAGAAAGCGTGAGTTTCATGGTGATGAGTTTTATGGTGACCTTTTGATTCTCAGGTCAGGCTCTTTTCTAGAGTATCTGTGGACCAGAGAAGCCGAGTCATGGGATTCAGTTACACAAAGTGAGGAGCTCAAGGAAGGTAAATTATATACTCTTTTACTTGGGCTGTTAATCAATAAATAATTATGGGACAACTTATTAACCTTCCCGCAAAGAATGGTAAACTCTATAAAAAAATAAAGTGAGTGTAGATTTTTTTCTAAAGATGAATATCTAGGGAACTGAGTCAAGGAGAGGTGGTTAGATAGAGACTCTTCAAAGTAAACAATGCTTCTTACTATGGCCTCTGCAGTAAAGCACATTTTAAGCATAGAAGGATCCACCCAGCACTCTGTACTCCACCCTCATCTATTTTCCGGCTTTGCTTGTCTGCCTTTCTTCAGCTCTTGTCTCCTATCCCCGCATCGAAAGAAGATCTGTTTGTTTTATTTTTTCAAATCTAGCCATTTTAAATGTGTGGCTTATCCACTTGAAGAGTAGAGGGGAAGGAAGAATCTACTGACAATCTGTTCTGCCTCATTTTAAAAGAACATCTTCTGTCTTCTTCTTGGCACTGTTCCAAGGACTTGGGTTTTTCAGGTCCCTGAATAATATAAACTCTACTGGGATACAGTCATGGTCGGGTCCTACACCAACCACCAGGGGACAAACAACCACCCTCAAAATCACCCCAGATCTAAGATGCTTAAGAGAAAAATACAAGTCTTTGAGTAATAGCCCACCCTCTTTCATTTAGAAATGTAACTTCAAGGATTCTCAGTGCTCTAGAGGGTGCTTTGCATACAAAGAAAAATAGAAACTGGGGTGTTTGCAATAGTCAAATATGAAATAGCATGTATTTCTGTTCCTTAGTATTTGTCTCTTACAAAGTATCACAATCTTGATGATAACAGCAGATTGCCTAAAGACTGTAAGTGTTTCTTATTTCATTTCTCAGGCTTTGATAACTGGAGCATGAGTGCAAGGAAGAGGTGGGAACATATTAAATATATATATATACATATATGTGTGTATATATATATGTATATATATATATATGTGTGTGTAATATGTGATACATAAGTGTTTATGTATGACATTTTAATTGGGTTAAAGGTGGGATGTGACCTCATATCATAAACCTCCAAAGGCAGCCATATATATCCTACATCCCAAGTGATAGAAGATGGAATACATGTGCCATAAAATTTTTGAATAAGAAACATGAATTAAAGAAAGAACAGTCATATCTCTTAATTACATTCAATAAATTGGCAAAGTTAAATAAGAATCATATCAAAGCTAATAAGGATTTTTATTTGAAAATTTCTATAGGAAATTTTTACCTTCTGCTTATTTGAAACTCATAGTAACTCTTTGCAGTGATTATTAAGAACTAAAGAACAACATGTTAACAAGAGTTATTAAGAAATCACAGGTAGAATGTCCCCTGAGAGGAATAACCCATAACATCATGTAACACACTGAGTTAATTCCTTATTTTTTACAGATAATCATTTGACACTCATCCCTTGTCTTCATTCATGAAATCATGCTGCTGAACAATAATGTGACTGAGTTCATTCTGCTTGGGTTGACCCAGGATCCTGTTAGGAAGAAAATTGTGTTTGCCATTTTCTTGATTTTCTATTTGGGGACATTGTTGGGTAACTTGCTAATTATTGCTACCATCAAGACCAGCCGGGCACTTGAGAGTCCAATGTACTACTTCCTTTTCTACTTGTCCTTTTCTGATACCTGCTTCTCTACTTCCATAGCCCCTAGAATGATTGTGGATGCTCTTTTGAAGAAGACCACGATCTCTTTCAGTGAATGCATGATTCAAGTCTTTACTTTCCACTTTTTTAGCTGCCTGGAGATCTTCATCCTTATCCTCATGGCTGTTGACCGCTATGTGGCCATCTGTAAGCCCCTGCACTACATGACCATCATGAGCCATCGAGTCTGTGGTGGGCTGATGGCTCTGGCCTGGGTGGGGGCCTGTGTGCATTCTTCAGCTCAGATTTTTCTGGCCTTAAGTCTACCTTTCTGTGGTCCCAATGTGATTGATCATTATTTTTGTGACCTGCAGCCTTTGTTAAAACTTGCCTGTACAAACACCTATGTGACCAACCTACTCCTGGTGTCCAACAGTGGGGCCATATGCACAGTGAGCTTTGTTGTGCTAATGTTCTCCTATGTTGTTATCCTGCATTCTCTGAGAAACCACAGTGTTGAAGGGAGGAAAAAAGCCCTCTCCACCTGCATCTCCCACATCATCGTGGTCATCCTGTTCTTTGGTCCTTGTATATTTATATACACACGCCCTGCAACCACCTTCCCCATGGATAAGATGATAGCTGTGTTTTATACAATTGGAACACCATTGTTCAACCCTCTTATTTATACACTGAGGAATGCAGAAGTGAAAAATGCCATGAGGATGTTATGGAGGAAGAAGTTGATTTCAGATGACAAAAAATGAACAGAATTTTCCAATTCTTCTTCGTAGTCTGGATTGACCTAGGAAAACCTTTTATCTTTTTACTGTGAAAGGAATATAATTCTATTTTAAGGTAGGACTTCTTATGCCTTCAGGATTGTAAGTAATGTGCACATGTGTACTGGTTAGCACTCAGTCAATTCTATGACAACCCTGGGTATAAAGAGGGTGTGTCTCTTTTGCCTGCCTCGTGTCAGTCCAGTTTCATCTAGTGTGTCCCCTGCCCTTCTTCATGTTGCCTTCTGCTGGGTTTTGCTCCTAGATACCCTTACTCTGTATGCTTATACATACAACCTAGTAACTTGTATGTCTTTCCAACATTTTTATTTATTAAACACTTCTGTTTCATTCTATCTGTTCATGGACCTGTAACTTAACTTTTCTTCCTGTTTAGTTCCAGATTCAAATAACTGTACAAACTTCATGTAATAAGGGACAATGTATAATCTAGTAATTTCCCTTCTAATCCTGGGTTGTTTATTCCAAATTCTTACCACATGTTTACGCAGCTCCTTTCTTCTCAGATGGAAACTCACCCTTCTGTGGTCGTTCTTTGATCATAGGAAGGTTTTCGCTGTTAGGTTTCTACTCAATATAGTATCTTTAATAAAATCTACTTTGTGCTTCTAATTTGATTTCTTCGAATTTGGGGGGCAGTATTAAGGTTTCTCTTGAATCATACCAATTAGGATATTTTAAAAATAACACTGGGTTATTAAGGGTATAACATAGCTGTTCCATATGAAATGAGATGTGTTTACGTGGGCTGGAAGTAGAGTGTAAGCAGTTGATTTTGTTCAATTTCAAACTGTTAATAGGTTTCGGCAATGAATGAGGTGATCCACTGATTATTTAGGCCTGAGATAATTATTTATATCATAGATATGAAGTATGAATTTCCTTTCTTGAAAAGAAAAAACCGTGGAAACAGTAAAAAAAAAAAGTGGTGGCCAGTGATTCAGAAGGAGTAGTAATTATATGAGTAGATAGAGCACAGAGCAATTTTATGAAAGGAAAACAATTCTGTTTAATTTTCTAATGGTGGATAAATGACATAATGCATTATGTCTAAACTCATAAAACTATACAACACAATACTAAACTCTGATGAAAACTATGCTGTTTATTTAAAAATTATCAGTACTGGTCATTTATTGTAACAAACAAACCACATTAAGGCAAGATATCTGAAACTGAGAAATTGTGAGGGGGACAGAGTAAAGATATGGGAAATCTCTGTGCTTTTTGCACAATTTTTTCTAAATTTAAATCTTGTCTAAAAAATAAAATCTATTAAAATTTAAATATTCAAGAGAAAGCTCAACTCTTCTTTATTATGTTTAAAATGTTCTATCTGAAATTTTATCCAATTCATTATTATAAGTACATTATTACAAATATATATTTTATTAAGCTACATATTAATGCCCTCAAATCCTCTACAATTATTCCCAGCAAGCTATACAAATATCATTAATGAATACATAATACTGTATTTTCTGTGGGCAAAATTATTTTTAAAAAATTGAAAAGTATTGTTCTTAACTGGCATGTATTAAATTGAATGATGTTATGTATCAGGAAGAATTTGCTTTTAACGGCTTTATCTATACACCTCAGGATAGTTTTTAATGCTTTATATTTATATGTTTTAAAAGTTTTTGTCTTTTCTTTTATTACAATACTTTTTTGCAGACTGCCTTCATGGACATTTTCAGAAAAAGATATACATATATATACTTAAGTAGCTTAAGTCTTCAACAATAACAGCAAGAATTTGGATTTTTACCACAAATACATTCTATCTAAATTTATATTAGATCCTTAAAAGAGGTAAATGAAAAACTTATATGTTCAAAGGCTCAGGCAAGATTTTGATATGCCAAAAGTAGCTGAGAAAATTTAGCATCTAAAATTAAATTTTAAATTTTCCTGAAAAAAATGTATACCAAATGAAAATGAAATAGGAAAATTCTACCACCTTTTTATTGCTATGCATTATTCTGAAGTGGAAAATATGGTAGTAAAGAGAAAACAATATTTTGTGTACTGTGGACTTTACTATATGATGTAGTACAGATAGACAAGAAAAAATAGATGATTATTTAACATTCCAGGGATTTAAAAAGTGCCTTGAACTAACATAAATTTAGCAAGGTAATTGAAGAGCGTGATGGTGATAATGCCAGGGTAAAGATGTATATATTCAGAATAGGGTGGTCAAGGGAAGCTCATGTGATTACCTGCCTTTTGTCAACTAAGACCAAAATTTGTGGCTCTCAACAAGAGAACATTTTGCCCCACAGAGTACAGTTGGCAGTCTAGACACATTATTGTTTGTCAAAACCATGAGAATGGGAGATGGGCATTTCTACTAACGTCTGATGTGTAGAGATCAAAATTGCTGTTGGGCTGCCTTTAACACCAGAGACAAGTCCTTATAACAATGATCTGTCTTAAAGAAAATGTCAGTAGTGCCAGGGTTGGCAAACTCTGATCAATGTGAACAATGTTTGAATCTATCTGCAGGGAGAAAGTTCTGGGTAGATGAAACAGCAAGGGCAAATAGGATGTGCTGAGTGTATACAAAGGAAATCAAATGGCCCAGCATGGATAAAGAAAGAAAATAAAAGAATACTAGAAATAAAATAGGAAGGGTCATTTTACAGGAATTATGATATTTTGTCTGGAATGAAATGAGAAAATACTTCCGTATTTGTGGCACTGTTCAACAGAATAACTCTGAATATCTTTTTGAGCAATTAGAGTGTATTCTGAAATATTAAACGTATACTGTAATAATCTAGAAAAGAGATTATGGTAGTTTGAAGCAGGTGAGTAGTAGTGTATGGTTAGAAAAAGTCTGCTTATGGATACAATTTTAATTGTTGATAGAAATGTTAAAATGGTACATCCACTTTGGATAATGTTCTAGATGGTTAGCATAAATTAAACATACACTTAACATAAATTCCAACAATTTCATTCATAGCCACCTATCCAGAAGAAATGTGTTCTCAAAAGCTTTGTGCTATAATGTTCACAGCAGCTGTGAAAATAACAGCCAAAATCCTGAAATAACCTAACTGTGCATTAATAAAAAGATGGGTAATTGTGATATATACATACAATTAAATCTTCCTCAGCAATAAAAAGGAAGGATCTACCGATTCACAGAACATCATTGAAGAATTGCAAATATATTTTGCTGAATTGACATTTTTTACTAAAAAGAGATTTTCAAAATTGTTAGATCTTATAGAGAAATAGAGTAATCAGTAAGTATAGTTGGAGACTTCACCACCCTTCCCTCAGTCACTGTTGGAAAGTCAACAGAAAATCACTAAGTCTAAAGATTCCTTGAAAACAGCACTATTAAGCAATTTGACCTAATTGGCATCCAAAAAACATTTCATCCAAAAACCACAGAGTATATATTTTTCTTAAGTGTACATGAAACATTCTCCAAGATGTACCACATTCTGGGTCATAAAACAAACCTTACTTAACAAATTCAAAATAATAGAAATAATACAGTGCACTTTTTTGGGATGAACTAGGATTAAACTGCAAATCAGTAAGAGGGAGATATAAAGAAAATCATTGTATTTAGGAATTAAAAATACATTTATGAATAATCTATAGATCAAGAAGCTTGTAGAAAATGTTTAAAAATTAAATAAAATATATCATATTAAAATTAGTGAGATTCAGTTAAAACAGTGTTTCTAGGAAATGTAAATACTGGAGATGAGCATTAAAAATATAAAATCAGCAATTTACATTTCCATATTAGGAAGTTAGAGTAAAAAGAGCAAATATAGCCCAAATCAAGGTGAAGGAAGAAAAAAAAACTAGAAGAGAAATCAAGTAAACTGAAAAGTAATACCAAAAAAATCAACAAAAGTAAAGGTAATTTTCTGAAAAGAACAATAAAACTGATGAACCTCTATCCAGGCTATCCAGATTCTTTGAGAAAATCTCGGGAGGAATTGTCTGCAAAGACATGTCAAGTACAACTGGAAAGAAAAAAATGGGTTACAATAATCTGGAGACAAAAGAACACATTTTCCAATAGCTACTGTTCTCACCTCAACTATTCAAACAAGACTGGCCAACTTTAGAATGACTTAACTTACAAAACAACAATAATACACAAACAATGTTTTGGTGTGGGGATGGTGACATAGAAGTCCTAATTGAAAAGAAGATAGGAAAGGTAGGGAATAGACATAAATGAGGGAGAATAGAATGCTAATTGGATCCTTCTGTGTTTCTCTGTTTTATTGCCAACTGTACAGGGAAAGCATGTCTGCTCAAATACTCTCTCTCAAACTAGCCCTCCATAATTCACTTACACTAGACTTCTATCTTTGGGAGAATCCCTACACTCACTTTGTTTGAGCAAAGTGTGCCATTCTTTACGGGAAGGTCAATAGGTTGTCTCGAGGTTCTTTATCCCCGAAGGTCCAAATATAATTTACCCTCCTTGAATGTTTCACTCTGTGCAACTAAAGCCAATTATTTATACTTACCTGTTCAAAAATGTCCTGGAAAGCAGCTTCACCTGAGAACTTGTGGTGTGTGACCTGCTGCCTGGCATTTGTGACTTCAAAATTCACACAATAAAACTCAATACCCACTGCTTTTATTTCCTCCATCTGGTTGCCTCAAATGTCATGAAATTAATATACACTTATTCTTCTTTCCAGATCTTACTAGAGAGCAGAATCTTGTGAAGGAACACAGAAAGATGACAAGGCATAGAGAAAAAGATTAAAAAGGATCAGCTATTGATGAAAAGGGGAGATTTTTACCCAAAATATTTCAACTCCCCTCCTACATACATGGCATATTATCTTTCACATCCATTCTATAGTTTTTAGCCTCCTCATTGTCATGTTTCCCCTGAATTTTCTCTGAGAAGCAATTATTCAACTTGTCAAATTAAACATCTGAAGAGTGCCAATTGCAAATAATATTTTTACATCATTTTTAAACATATGAGAAGTAATAATTACATATTAAGATATAAAAATTATAATAAAATGTGTCATTTGGAGAGGTAAAAACACTAACATTATACATAAGGCATGTGAAGGTTATTATCTCCATTAATCTTTAATTTCTAAGCAGGCTTAGTTTTTCTTACTTTCTAGTACTCATACCTCTTAGTGAGGACTTGTCCCATCAAGCTACCTTATATCCAAATCATTTGTGAAATTTTTTACACTCTGCCATCTCTGAAACTGTAATAAACTGTAACAAATGGAATGCATTCTGTCCCCAAACAACAATGATAGCTTGTCATATACCTGGTTTTCATAGAATATTTATTTGATTTCAAAAGATGTTTCCCAACACTTATGTTTCATTATATTTTCTTTTTAACAGTAATTCAAAACACCTTGGGGTTGTTATTTTTTCTATTCCTTTTTTAGAGGCTATGGAATCAGTACAGTCAATAAATATTAAAATATATTAGAATATCACATTGGTTTATTTTTAATGATGCCTCTTTGAGTAAAAAGATGGGGATAATCTGTTGCTTGCCTGTGAGAAGACTCTGAATTAGTGTCAGTCCTGACCTCCCTATTTGATAGCAACCTTATCACAGAACACTGGGCAAAAATGTTCTTGTGTACATTTCAAAGGGAATATTTTAAGAAATAATAATGTAAGTTATGAGTATTATCATCTAAAGTTTTCCTTACTTTGCTAGTCAGAACCGTCTCATATGTAATAAACTGAAATTTTGGTTTGTCTATTTAGAATAGCACATTAATTCTCCTCATGCTCACTAACTACACAAACAAGAATTCAGAGATGCTGGGTACTTCAGGCCGACCAATGTCATCAAGGAAAAAGAATAAAACAAATAAATTGGGGAGAGGGTAGTAAAAACAGAAATAATTTTTTTTAAAAAAGAGTGTCATTTGTGAAAGAGAAAGTGGATCACCCAGAAACAACTCTGCTTCTAACCAGAGCACTAAATCATCCCTACTATGTTTCTCAATCTAAACCCTGCAGAGCAGAAGGCGTTCAATGAAAAATATTGCCAATCAAGAAATCAATACCCACAAAAATGCGGTTTTTAAAATTAACGGAACATACAAACATATCCACACACAAAAAAGCTGAGGGAGATTATCATCACCAGAAATACTTTACAACAAGTGCTAAAGAATCTTCTTCAAATTGACAGTAAAAGACACTAAA